CTAATGATATAGTATGGTTGTGGGTTTTTTTTTTGTTTTTTTTTTTACAGGTATTTACCCTTGCCTACAACGTTACGGTGATTGGGGCATCCGGTGCGGTTGCTGAGCCGCTCTGCCTGCTTCTAAAGATGAACCGGGTAATAAAGACCCTTAATCTTTATGATGAGGGTGGGGTGAGGAGTGAGTTTATCACGGACCTCAACCAAATTAGTACCCCTGCAGAGGTTTTTCTTGATAGTATGGCCTTGTGGAGTGCTTGCAGGGTGAAGAGGTAGTGGTGAGATTGCGTGGGCTGCGGATCAGAGCTTGGTTGATAAAAGTTTCGAGGACAAAGGGTTCACAATGAGAAGGTATATTTCAGCTATTATGAACAACTGTCCTCTGGCAGTGATTTACACCACGACGAGACCTCACTGGAATAAATTCAATCAAGGTCAATTCGTTTGTTGCTAACATGAAAATCCTCAATGGCAAGTCTTCGATGTATCTCAGGCCGGATTTCTATTGAGTCCTTGGATTAAGTTGTATAGTATCATGATCACACTTTACTATTCTTTTTATTTGATCACATGACTGGTTTCATTTGTATGTTTTTGACAATAAATTTATACTCCTAAATATTGTTAGCCTATAGGAGACTTCTAGATACCATCTTTGGGCAATGGGAAATTATGGATATAACGTGTTTGAGAAATGTTCGTCCAGGATAAAGTTATGATTATGAATAAAATAATCAAATGCTGACTACGTCTTTCTGAAGATAATTTTTTATCTGGCACAAGTTATGGAACTATTAGTGGAATCAAAATAGAGGTCAAGAGTTGAAGATGGTCTACATTAGTGTGGGTTGAAATCGACTGGATTACCTATTATCGAAATAGATAAAGTCGACTAATCAATTGTAATTCGATCAAATTGGCGCTGGGGAATTAAAGAATTCGTCCTTCATGGGATTAATATGACTTGTGTGTGGTGAAAGGATGGTTCTATCAATTCATTTTGGAAAAAAAAATTGTTACTAAACTTTCTCTTCGCACATTATACACGTTGAACATTAATTTCAACTCAATTTACGTTGGGTATAGCAACAATGATCAGTTAGGTTACAAATGTCATCAATTCTGATTATGAAGAAAACGTAACGCCTTGTTTGAAAATTTATACATTATTATACAGTATACCGCAAATGAATTTTGACGGCCATTGATCAACTTTTAGATAGAGAAACCTCTGGTCATACGTATGCAATTTAAAATGATTTGGTTAAAGCTCAACTTAAAAACTATATATATTGTAGAGCAATTTACTAACTTCACTCCATTGTGTTTCAGTAACCATGGTCATTAATTGTTTAGAATTTTAAGGGCTCACATTTACTTTTAATTAGCCATCATAACTATCCCTTTTATCTGCTCCATTTTAGTAGCATTGTCTTTGTCTGCAAAGCTCGTATTTATCAACACAACTCATCTTACTCGACTGACTATCCATAATCCCATATAATGATGCAGAGCGTACTTGATACTAAGTGCCAAAATTTTACTGCTTTTTGAACCATTTGTTGCTCGTCAGTTGTACCTTTTGGATTATTAAATGTTTGATGGACTTATTTACTGGATTTTATGACCAAATAGATGGGTGTGGTTGATCTTCATTAATTTTAGAGAAATAAAAACCAAACCGTAAGGCTATCTAGAGTTCCATACATATATATAGAGGACAATGCATCTAGGACAATAAGAAGTAATGAACATATATATAGCATTAGTACTTTATTAGTTCTAACATTGTATTTCATATTAAGTAATTGTATGGAAAGAGAGGTTGGTTGCTTTTACATTTACAAGTTTATTTCAAGGAAACTAACAAGGAAGAATGCCGAGAAAGAAAAGGGGAAGAAAAGAAAGAAGTGAAGCTTTCAATATGGTACTTAATCTATAGGGGTATTCACGGCCGGATTGGTCCGATTTTGCATCAATCCATAACCAAACCATTATTCACAGTTTTTAAATTTTTAAAACGATAACCGGACCGGATTGGATTTGGAACCGGACCAATTCAAACCGCATTGGATGGTTTGACTTGGGCGGTTTGACAGTTTGGGCCTATAGTTGGCCTTTTTTTATTTTTGGGCAACAAATAGAACTTTTTCCTGTTATTGGGCCTTTTCTGGACTTTTAAGGGTTAAATAATTACAACAACTTGAGTCTTTCATAAGTGGAAGACTCTTACAAATTAAAATCCAACAAAACAGCATAAATATTCAGTCCAAAAATGAAAAATAAACCAAATTATTAATTCAGAAAGTCTGATTGGTTGCAGAATCAGCATTTGCTGTCAATCCTAAGGGTATTTTACTTGAATCACTTGAGGCCGTAGGAAGTCTTCCACAGCTGCTGAACATTCCAATGGATCACCACAGAGAAGTATTTGATGAATAGTTACTTAGGGATTCTGTGTAAAGCAATCAAAAGGGGAAGGGCGAAAAGTACAGAGAAATAAATAAACCAAAAACGAATTCAGAAAGCAAATTCCCAACTTTAGGGTTCTCAAACGAATTGGCCCTCAAATTCAAGGATCCCAACTCGAAATTGCGATTCAAAATCCTAACGCAAACAAATTTTATTTCCCAGAAGCGAGTTCATCTAAATTACTAAGCAGCTAGGAATTGAAAAATTGCAGCGAAAAAGAAAAAGAGGAAATGCACAAATACACAAAGATTCAAAGGGTAGCAAATATACCCTGCTTGGCTGCTTCTAATGACTGGTAATGGCTGCTTCTAAGCATCCTCGAACAGATGAGGCCGGAGAAATCGAAGAGCAAGGTGACGGAATCGAATGGGGGAGAAATCGCGAGATCTGAAAGGGGAGAAATCGGGCTGTGGGTTTGAGAGATCTGAAGGTGTAGGAGGCGCTGCACGTAGTGGAGGGTGGGTTTAGGAAGAAAATTAAGATATTGTTATTTAAACTATATACGGTCCGTCCGGTATGACAGACGATTTTTCAGTGCCAAACCGTAACCGAACCGTTATGAACGGTTTTTTCTTTTCAAATTCACCAGTTTCAAAATTTAATTATAAACCGCCCGTCAATCCGAATCGATGACCGGTTGGGCGATTCCACTGGTTTGTTCCAAACCATGAACACCCCTAGTGCTTAAACTTTCTAGAATTGCTTACTGATTTAAAGGTACGTAAGTACCGCAACTATTTCATATTACATTTGTTCTCCCATTTTCTGTTTTCTTCTTTTTTGTTGATTTAGATAGTGTGGATCGTTTGATTAACTATTATTTCAATGTATTCATTTTTTTAATTTTTTTCCCTTCTTCAAATTTATTTTTATTGGCTAGCTAGTAGTGTGGTTTTGGATTGCTTTGATGACTTATGAATGGTTTCTTAGGCTCTTAGTTTAATTTACCTGTATCCTAATTATGGCGTTATGAACAAATTCTTGCAACGGGAGTTCATATAGAACTCTTTTTTGCTTTCGTTTTGGTTGTTCTTCTTTATAATATGAGGTTCTTAATGTTTCTGATTTATGAACTTAATTTGCATGAATACAATGTCGATCCCTTTCCTTTTTGTGTGTTAGCTTCGTGTCGTGAACTAAAGTGTTAGCATAAGTTCCTAATTCTTATTGCACCACTCCATATCTGAAGCTCAGCCTGATAATTATAATAGTTTTCTTCAGATGTGTGTGATGGAACTGAAGCAATAGAATTCACAAACTTGTGATGCTCTACCGGAGGACGGAGTCATTAACTCCCACACATCCACAATGGCGAATGACCATCATGGCAACAACTTTCTTTGGTCTTTGTACGGTTAGACATGTCCCTGACAGAATTAGTCCCGGAATAAATCATTCTACATCTATTCTAGAAAAATAGTCAATTTTGTAAATGTAAAAACATTGGACTTATTAAATTGGCATAATTACCTAAATTGATTATAATATTAATAAATGGTCATGAAACTTTATTAAATTTTTCATATTAATTTTTTTTTTAAATTTGCATGATTAAGTAATCCAATTTTGATATTTTAATTTATTTAAATTGGAATAGACTAGATACTATCATGATATGTATAGTTTTATCTATATAAATCGACACGAATATTTACAAGAGAGAATTCTGTGTTATGATAATTAAGAAATGCCTTGTGTACAGAAGTACTACGGTTGGTGTATATCTATCTATACACTATGCTAAGGCAAAAATCAGAGAGAGAAAACTAATGGCATAGAGCCCATGCCACATAGGATGACATTTTCTTAATTTCTTAGACTTAAAAATGCACAAAACAAAATAATAAAACAAAAAAAAGCAACTAAAATAATTATAAAAAAATAAAAAAATAAAAACCGAACCCTTATTTTCATGAACCAAATCCTAACACAGAGATTGATTGGAGAGAGTACCAAATCCTAACAATTTTAGAGAGATCTGCATAAATCTTATCACCATTGAATTTAAAATGTCATTTAAAAAAAAAAAATTCCTGTAAATCCAGAAGTAATCATGTTTAAAACTGAAGTCATTACGTATTTTATAAAAATAAAAAATTTATATAAAAATGTCTAAATGTGTATGCCTTCCCCGTCTATTGGACGGGTCTAACACCTAATATATCTAAACATGAATGTAGAACTTGAGCAATACTAACTCTATTCTACAGAGAGAATATGACATAATAAGGGAACATAGTGAAACGTCACCCTCAGCTAGTCGTTTAACCTTTTTTTTACTGTTGCTGGCCTCCCATGGCCGCCACCACAGCGGCGGAGGGTAGGCCTGCGCCTTCCTCCATCTCATATCGACAAGCTCTAGTATCTCAATCCGAAGAACATACTGCTACTAGTACTATTTTCAATGAATTTCGAACCGGATCTATCTTCAAAGGGGAACCGGCTATTCTACAACCCAGCAAAAATCGCTAAATTATCTTTAACCTATGAATTGGCATTGGTCGGCCGCTTCTCGGCAAATGACCATCGATGAATTTCCTCAGAAAAGAATTTCGAACAATTGGATTCAAAGGGAATTACACCTTAGGATTGATGGATTCAATGCATATACTAATCCAATTTGACCTCCATGAGGATTTCCACCGCTGTTGGCTACACAACTACTGGAATTTTGGGCAATTCACAATGAAAGTCTTTCGATGGACCTCTGATTTCCGCCAAGATCGCGAACCACCTTTGGCACCGGTATGGATTTACTTTCATGATCTCCCTCTTTATATGTATCACCGTGGTCCTCTACTTTCTTTGGCAAACAAAATAGGTAAGCCACTTAAAATTGATGCTGCAACTGCTCAAATCACTAGGCCCTCAGCAGCTAGGGTTTGTGTTGAAGTCAATTTGATGCAAGATCTCCCCTAACGGATTCTATTATCTGAAGATGAATTTCAGCGAGTGGAATATGAAAATCTCCCCCAATATTGTAGGGGATGCAAAGGAATTGCACATAACATCTCAAATTGCGGCCCCACTCGTCCTAGGAATGAATTGCCGAACAAATTTCCAGCTAAAGGATTAAGGGATGAATCGGTGAAGAATATTCCAATAAATGCTCCTCCAAAACAGCTTTGGAAGCCTAAGGAATTAATGTCAAAAAGCCAAAGAGAAAATTCAGAATCGTTGCTTTCTTCAACATCAGGTTTGTCCAAAAGTGAGAAGGACAAAATTCCAATTGACATTCCAATGGAGGCTCCTCCATCAAATCATCGCTCCTCCCAAGAAGAAATAGTTCAAATTGCTGATAATTTAGGCCGAAACTCGGCCTCTAATGTCCTCACAAGTAAAGTGGAAATAGCAAAAGAGGGGGCATCCCAAAATGTTGTTGATCTGATTTCAAGCCAGACCACCCGTCCGATCCACATCAATGAAGTAAAAGAGCCTTCAGAAGCACAAGAAGACATTGACAAAGCTGGAATGCAGCCTCAAATTGAACTGGAAAACTCATATTTGAATGATAATAAGGATATGGATACACATGGAATTCAACATAGATCGAATCTCCGACAAGGTGAAACTGAAAATACGGAAGCTGAGCTAGCTGGGCAAGAACAGAATACATCCACGCTTTCATCCAAAAGCTCCAGCCGAGATGAGTTGGAAGCTATAGATTCTCCTCCCCTCTCTCATTTGTTGGCAGCTGTGGAAATGTAGGAATAACGCTATTTTTGAGTCAACAATAATCTCTCCACACATTGCAGTGAGGCTTATTGTCCAAGATCTACACATTATGGCAAAAAGCGGTGCCTTTTAAAGCATCCTCAGCCAAGGATTCAAGCTTTGTAACTGCAGGACTCATTCCTTTTGCAAAAGAAGCAAGAAAGAGTACCCCATTATTTTTGACTTGGACCCTTCCAACTAATAGAATAAAGATCAACGTTGATGGGTCCTCAATTGGTAATCCAGGTGATGCAGGCTGTGGAGTAAGATATGCAAGGAAAAGTTATTCTAACTGAAGCAAAATTTATTGGCACTGCCTCTAATTTTCAAGCTGAAGTGAAGCTCTCCTGAGAGGTATGCAACTTTGCCAAAGCCTTAGATTTACTCAAATTGAAGCATAAACGGATTCGAAAACTCTAGTCAACATTCTAGCGAATCCAACAAGTTGGCCATGGCGATCAAAGCATTCTCTCAAAAAAATATGGCTTTTGGCACAAAATATGCAAGTCACCGTTCGGCATGTGTATAGAGAAACGAACACAGTAGCAAATGATCTCCCTAAACTGGCAAGTTCGTTCCGAACCACGACACAGTATTCTCATGATGACTTGCCTAATCGTATAAAAGGTCTAGTTGTATTGAATCAAAGTCAATTTCCATATGTTTGGAAAATAAAGTAGTTTTCACTACTTAAAAAAAAAAAAACAAAACAAAACAAAAAAACTTAAGCAATACTAATACATACGTTTTTTTTTTTAAAAAAAAGAATCCACCTCAGTGCACCCCACTTAAATGTGGGTAAAATCACTCTTACAAATCCTTTAATAGGAATTGAACCCGAGTCTAGCACGAGGAAGCACAACAAACTAATTCATAGGTTATATAATTACAGGAATTTGGGAGATGCCAGATGCATGGGTTGCCTTCTCTAAAAGTAATAGGTGATATTAGATGTGTTGGATTGAGAAATAAAGAACCTTGCGTGGAGGAAAAACATTAATCTTTTTAAGATCATATGATTGAATTTTTTGGAATACGCAGTTTCGTAAACATTGTTTTAATTTACTGGTAACTATTTAGAACAGCATTTCAAACTAATAAATTTTACCAAAGGATTGATATTTTTTGTGGACTAAAGATTCGAAATGAGAATTTAAGAATACACTTTGTTTCTACTCCAAATAATGACGAAATAGGAAATATCATCATGCTTTGTAACGTTCCTATGAAAGCATATTTCTGTTCCAAAACTTAATTGGTCTTACTTCTACATCCAACAAATGAACTTAAAAAAAAAAAAACTTATAAAGAAAACTAGACGGTAGATTCTTGAACGTTATTTAATGGTCCCTGTGAATGGATGGATATAATTCAAGACAATTTTTTTTTCTTTTTTAATGCAATAGCGATTGAAGTGCTCGTTCCTAAGAACACAAGCTTCAATAAATTAACTCATGACAGTCCACGCATCTTTCTTACATATATGTTTAATTCTCTTGGTGCTCATTTTCTTTTTTATTGTATATTACTCAACTCTTGATCAGCTGTCAGAATACGACCATTCATGAGTTTACTACTCATGTATGGGAATGAATATTGAAGCTTCAAAAATTATACCTATGAAGAAAAACTAACTCCTTATTTGATAATAGTTTTCATTTGATACATAAATAAATAAATAAACATATACATATATATAAGTAAAACATCAAGTAACTTTATCGATAAATTAACTGATCAATTGAATTTGAAGTTACAGAATATTATGCATATAAAGCTACATAGATTAATATTAAACATTAGTGTAAATTCTCTTGGGTGTCCGTATAAATCTAATTGTACTTGCATCCCAAAATCGATTAACAATGAGGAAAGTAACAAATAGCTACTACTTAAATCTTTCAGAAATATTTGTCAGTTTGCTTTCAGCATTTTAAATATCCTACAAACACAGTCATATTTAATTCCTGGAACAAAATGTTAGGTGATCTATATACAACCAGGTGCTATGATGCCGAACTAGAGGGTGTTGATGCCGGAATTTTTTTTGATTAGGTGATCTATATACAACCATGTGCTTTGATTTCTATTCGTTAGCATTATTTAAGATGCTCTACCTCACATATAATGATTTTAGTCTAATTTTCCAAATAATGAGAACGTGAAATTTAGAGTTGAATGAAATAAAAGTTTCTGGCGGCGGAGGAGGGTAGAGAATGGGGAGAGCAGAAGCAGAATGATGTCGAAAGGAGGAAAGGATATGGGCTTGGGCTGCGGGGAAGTTTAGTCTTCATTAATAAATTGGCCCATTATGACTTATCGGGGTTAAAAATACACTACAAATCTACTTCTCTTCATTAAAAAAAAATATATTAGTTAATTAAAAATTGATTTTTAAAAATTATAACTACTTAATCAGAGTGAAAAACTTGCAAAAACTTTATTGTGCTGCATGATTTGCATAAAACATGTTCTTAATAATTGAAAAGAAATAATAATTATCAAATACCGTTGAAATATTATTTAATTCTCTTCGCCACTGCTTCTAATCTTGGATCTATAATGCTAACCAGTTTCTTCTTGTGCTGGGTCAGGTCATTTCCCAATAAACTAGGGACTACGCCATAGCTGTAAAAATAACTTTTAGGCGTGAAACGACCTACAAGAAACACGAAACAAGTCCAAAAATCGTACAAGCTTGGTGAATGTGGAGTTATGAACCATATACACATACAACCAACTCCAAATAGTGGAGAGAATAAAGGCTCCTTCACTAGATTATATTGTCATGACCAGAAAAAGGAAAAAAAAAAATCACTAAAAAAAAAAGGTTCTCTGAAGAACATAAGAGATCGAATGGGACAAAAATGAAATCGCTTATACTAAGATATTTTGAGTCAAAGTAACCAATTCTCCCAACTACAAGAGTATATACAAACTTGTATTTCATCTTCAGGTGGTCCTTTCTTTTGCCGGACTAAAATTGGAAATCAATACATTCTAGTCCTAAAGTTATGAAGATCATCCGTCACAATCTAAAGGATGCCTCTCTGAGTAGTACTACTAATAAAAATAAAAATAAAAATTATGAATGTGCATTCTTTAATCCAAAAAGCATAATGTTCCATTCATAATGTTATATTAGAAAATGAAAAGCAATTTAATATTATCCTGATTCAACAATTTGAATCTTCCAATAGTCTAAGGATCTTTTATACCATAATCCTAAACGTTTCCCAAACATCTATATAAATTTTGTGCAGTGATTCTGCCAGGACATAAATTAGGATGCGGAGCAAAATATTACAGTATTATTTTTTTCCCATATTACCATTGAATGGTCCAATTAATTCAAACCTCTGCTTGTCTGTCTCTTTCGCTACAACTTTCACAAAATCAAACTTTTCATTTTCCTAGATTCACAGCAGATGATTGGAGAGCAAATACAATGACTCTAGCCCAGAATATAACAAATTTATACTCTGTTACTCAGCAACTCCCAGAATTATAATCCACAGTGAAAGATATCCAAAATTGCTGCTTATTGCGGTGTGAATCTGTTCAATATTGCGGCTTATTTGTTGCTTGAAGTCCCAAGAATGAATTAATTAAAGTTTTAAAGGAATGAAAATAATCGAAATCATTCAAGATGATTTAAATTAATTATATTGATATTTATTGATTGTTTTGCCTTTAAAATGTATCATAAGGTATAAAACTATTTTTGAAAGAAAGAATCAATTTTTATTACGACCAGTTATCTTTTGATATTTTTCCTTCTCTCAAGTCCCTCACTCTTAGGACCAATGCTGAGTTTTGCAAACACAAAAACAACAACCTTGAGTCTTGAGTTAATGTTAAATAAAATAAAATACTAATAACTAAACAAATAAATAAATAAAATTGAAATAAAGAGTTGTTTGGACTATGTGATTTCCAAAAAGAAAAAAAAATTAGAAGCAGCACTGCGAATTGGCTCGAGTTTTGAGTTGAGATCTCACTACTGCCAAGGCAAAGATTCTTTTGCAATTTAAGGAGACTTTGTTGAATTTTTTAAGATGTAATTATTGTATTATTACTTTATTATTAGTTGCATTGTTATATCAATTTCGGTAAAGCTTAATCCCCGTTTCCTTCCAGGCAACTACTTTTGGACAAGTCTGCTTAATGTCAATAATGTAATAGTAGTAGTAATAGGTGTACTGTTTCAAAGAAAAAGTAAACATAAATAAATAATAGCAATAGTAGTACAAAGCTAATGGCAAAGTATTGTAATTTTAATTAAGGTTCTGTCTTGATGAAAGATAATGCTTAATTAGTCTTCTTGCTCTCAACTTCATTTCTCTTCTGAAATTTTCATTTCCTCATCTCTCAACTCTCTGTTTTGATCTGAAGTCTTAAGTTTCAGTACTTCCTTGTTATCTTTTGATATTATTTCTTCTCTCAAGTCCCTCTCTACCACCAAGAATTCCTTGTTTTTGGTTTTCCGAAAAAACTTTCTTAATTAATTGGATCAAGAGTCTGCGTTGACTTGTGCGAAGTTATTTAGATCTTGGGGCCGATCAAGTTTCCGTTGGAGATTGGAAGGCCGAAAAGGAGAAGATTAGCGATTTGGTCAATCGCAATCACTTAAGAGTCTATCAACAAAGGTACGAATCTTTTGTTTTTTCTTTTTTTTCTTAGCTCAGGCGGTTCTAGCAATATTTACAAGTCAATCACAATCACTGTTCGTAGGTTTGATGGAGCTTTAGCAATATTTAGAAGGTCCCATATATGAGTTTAAAAGAGTATTACCTTCTCAAATAAGTGAGTTCGCAAAACAGTACATACATTTTGTCGTCTCAAAATTATTAAAAATGCAAAGTCTAATTTAACTTTGTTTCTTCATTTTTGACAAGATCTCCCCATTTCCCAAAACAAAAAAAAACAAAAGGAAATTCTTTTTGGCAGTTACAGAGATGTATTCCAGAGAGTCTATTGTTCAAGATGCCTTAGATGAGCTCCAGTCCATCAGCCAAAAATTGTCTGATTTATTCCCATATTGGGAACTTAATCATCTGCGGCAGTTGTTGGAATGGGGGAGATGGTTTTATTTGTGGGGAAGAAAGTGGGGCGATGAACAAGATGTGCGCTGGGAAACTGCTGTGTGTACAGTGGAGGACACTCTTCACAGACATTCCCTGGAAATTCTGTTTCTTTGTCTCACGTTGAAGGAGAAATTGCTGAGGGTTGATGATTCTGATGAGAGATGGGATGCTGATTCGGAGGGATGGGATGATGTGCTTCAAGATTTTCTTGGGAGAATTATTGAATCGGTGCAACCAGGAATTGAGGAATTGGTCGGAATGTTGGAGACAGATCTCACATTGCAAACAAGATCTTCTTCTCGAACAGATGTGAAGCAACTGCTGGACAGCGTCGACTTCATTCTTCACAGTTTGCAGAGTCTTGAACATCAGAGTCCCAACGCAAATGAAACCGTAACGTTCATGAAGAACTTCATTCGCTTTGCTACGCTTCACGGACTTGAGGATAGGCAGATCATCGGAGATCTCTTGACTCACTTTGAACGTGTATTTATTCAATCTGCAGTCCTACTTTTTGGTGTTTGCGTTCGACGTGGTTATCTTTCAGCAGATTCTCGTGGTGAACTTCTGAGAAAAATTGAGCCAGTTGAGTCGCGTGTTTGTGAGATTTATGTTGGTGTCTTGCAAGATGTTTCAAAGTTTTCAGGGTCCTCCTTCCATCCCACTAAAGAAACTCATTCATTGGTGTTTAGAGACTTTGTGGATTCTCTCATTTTTCTGATTTTGAACCTTTTCTTCCGTGATGCCATTTTTGTGGACATGTTTCCCCACGAAATGCATAAAGTGCATGAGGGACTCTCATTCTTGAGAACCACTCTATCAGAGCACCATGACAAGCTTGATGACCTCATTAGACCTTTGATTTGTGAGGCAGGCATCCTAATTTTTCATCTCTATCAAGAAAATGGAGAACAAAGAGGAAGGTTGATTGCAAAATTAGAGCTCCTTTTTTCCAATTTCGAGACAAAACTCCAAATTCTCAAGGCTGCAGAAGAAGATGCGCCAAGGTTTCCACCAACATCAGCATATCCCCAAACAAACTTGTTGGGTTTTATTGACTCTGTCTTGGAAAAAATAAAGACATTCGTGATTCAAGTTTCTTCAGTAAAGGATAAGTTCCAAGCCCTCCACGATGATCTTACAGTTTTAAGATCTTTTGTAGTCCATGATAATGGGATGAAGATCCAAGATCTCTCGAGTCGCATTGCAGCGGTAGCTTATGACACGGAGTTTGTACTTGATTCTTTGGTTGTTGCTGGTAAACCACTCCGGACGAGCCTTATCGTGCAGCTTGATGTTATCATAACAGAGATTGAGCTTATTAAGACTCAGGTCTCGGAGATTCCTTGGAGTATGGAGCCAACCATTGCAGTTCAAAAGATTAGTCAAGCTAACCTTAAGATGGCACCAGCAGTTGGTAAGATCCCAGATTCCAATGAGAGAGTGGTGGGCTTGGATGACGAGGCAAAGATCATCATCGATAGACTCACTAGAGGGAAAAAACAGTTAGATGTGGTTTCGATTGTGGGCATGGCCGGATTAGGTAAAACTAGTTTGGCGAAGAAAGTTTATCATCATTCCCGCATCTCTCATCACTTCCAGGTTCGCTCTTGGGTCACCGTGTCTCAAGAATACAACACAAAAAGTTTGTTGATTGGGATTTTAAGCGGACTGGACCAAAATTCAACTGGAGCGTATATAAATATGAGGGAAGATGATTTGGCTGAATGGCTCCGTAAACGGTTGAAGGGAATCAGGTATCTTATCATCTTGGATGATATTTGGGATACTCAAGTATGTAATAGTTTGAAAATGTCATTCCCAGACGATGATAAGGGTAACAGAATTCTTCTAACCAGTCGACAGGAGACTATTGGTTTGGAAATCAATCCACACTCTGAACCTCACTGTCTTCGTGCACTAAATGATGATGAGAGTTGGGAATTATTTCGGAAGAAGATGTGCTATGACCAAAGTTGTCCATCGGAAGAAGTAATTGCTCGTGCCAAGACAATAGCAAAATCCTGCAAGGGATTGCCGCTGATGATTTTAATTGTTGCAGGAGTTCTCGCTAATACAGAGCCAAGTAAGTGGGAAGAAGTTGAAGAAATGCTAAAAACAGGTAGCGCAATGGCTGCAGATCAGTGCAAGGAGACTCTTGAGTTGAGTTATCGACATTTGCCAAACCATTTGAAACCATGCTTTCTTTATCTGGGAGCGTTTGAAGAGGACAAATCAATACCTGTTCACCAGATTTTACGGCTATGGATTGCAGAAGGATTCGTGCAGGAAACTGCAGGAAGAGAGTGCTTAGAGGATATTGCAGAGGGTTACATGATGGAGTTGGTACAGAGAAATCTAGTGATGGTTGCAGGAAGAAATTTCCGAGGTCAGATGCAAGAGTGTGTCCTTCATGACTTGCTACGCGATTTCGCCATAGCAAGAAGCAAAGAAGAACACTTTATGCATCGGCTACATGGTCACGAGCTTAATGGTTGTGTTGAGGCTAGCCAGCCGTACAGGTTAACTATTGATTTCAGAGGACCAGAGATATTCTCAGAATCGAGGTCCCTCTATCCTCGTCTACGCACAATGTTGTTCGTTAAAAAACCCAAAGTCTATCCACAAACAACATCTCTATACAAGTTTTTCCAGTTCAAGCTTATAAGAGTTTTGGTCTTAAGCCCAGGATTTGAGTTTGATACATTCCCATGTGTGATTCTACTACTTGTCCAGTTGAAATACTTGGATTTCGCAGTTTCTTTTACTTCAGAAATAATCATCCCATCGTCAATTCTCAATCTCTCAGATTTGGAGACTTTGATTGTTACTGGTGGTGACAGAGTTTTGTTGCCGGATACTTTGTGGGGTATGAAAAAATTAAGGCATCTGGAAGCTTGGGAGTGGGTATTGCCATCAGAGATTCCCGTAGCCAATTTGGAGAATTTGCAGACTTTCTCGACTGTAAGATTCACCTGCAGCCAAACGATGGTGGGAGTATTGAAGAAGTTACCAAATCTCCGGACACTACGCTGTCGTCTCGATCTGGATGAAGGAGAGTGCACTGTGGATTTCATCACTTTGACTCAACTCGAACTTTTTTCACTCTGCATCATTACTTCTGGTGGGACGAACTTTTTTCAATTTCGATTTCCCCAGAATCTAAAGGAACTATCTGTGTATTCAACTTGCCTTACATGGAGTGAAGTTTCAGCTATTGGAAGGCTACCAAATCTTGAAGCTCTCCGATTGGATGGGAATGAAATCACGGCGGAAAATTGGCTACTAAATCTTGAAGCTCTCCGGTTGCATGGGAATGAATACAAGGGGGAAAATTGGGACATTGAAGAAGAAGGCACATTCCCCAAACTCAGAGTGTTGGAATTATACGACATGACCAGTTTGGAGAGATGGACAACGGCTTCGGATGACGACTTCCCATCTATCGAGACATTGATACTCAAACGCTGCAATCGCTTAAAGGAAATCCCTTCTTGTATAGCCCAAAGTTCAACGCTTCAGATGATTGAGGTCAGGAATTGTCCACGTGTCTTTAATTCGATAAAGGAAATTCATGAAATGCAGATGGATTATGGAAATGAAGATCTACGGATATATCTCGACAAAGAACAACTAACAAAAGAGTAAGCCCCACACTAAATATTTCTGTGATGTTTCATTTTTTTACTTTGCAATAGATATATACAATTTTTTTTTTTATTCAACTGAAGAACGGTGTTTCTTTCCCAATGAAATTATCGTTTGCTAAACTAACCTTCTTTTTTCTTTTCTTCTTGTCTTCCTCAATTAGTTTCCATTTTCCAAAAAATAAATAACAATTGTATGGTGACAGTAGCTAAACATATGATTGTAGGAGGCAGTACTGATATTGTTGTTAATTCAAGGTGATTTTTTTTTCTTTTTCTGTTTTTGCATCATTATTGTTTATCATAGATCATAGAGTAATCAATGCAATTTTTTTCCGGTGCCGATTTGATACTCTTAACAGGGTAGGCGAATATGTTTGCTGCTACTTATTCTTGTTCTAGCTGTTTTCTTTTTCTGTTTTTTTTTTTCTATCTTTTTTTCTTCCCTTTCATGTTTTGATGTCCTTTTTCTGGTTGGAATGTCAATGAAAAGCAATAGTTTTAATGTTTAAAGTAGAAATCTTTTTTATACGGGTTGCTTGTGTCAGTGAAATTATCTTAAACAATTAATTCTTATTATGGAAGGGAGGTTCAAAATTTCGGAAGTTAATTTAGAACTTAAAAGCTTGACATATCTTTCTTTTTCTTTTGGTTCAGGAACTATGAGGTAATTCGAAGCAAATACACCTAAAGAAATCTTCAATTGAGTCGGGTAAGTCTCTTTTCATCAAGAAGAAAATTTCTCCAAATATAAATATAAATTGTTATTTACTATTGATGCTCATGGCTGCTTTAAAAACATGAGTTTTTTAACTTGTGGTTAACAATTAATACATAGGATATCGTATCATGTACTTGTTCTATACCGTCATATTACAAGTAGTAGTATATCTATCTCCGAGAGACTAGTTCTGCATGATTGTGTACAGTTAATTTAGCAAATAAGACTCTATATAGTTTTGGATGAGAAAGAGTTTATAATCATTTGAGAATATTAATTTATATACTCTTTCTGTTCAGAATTGATTATCCAGTTTAAATTTTTATTTTTAATTCAAATTATATAAAAAAATAAAAATCAAAATAGGATAACCATTTTGGGACAGATGAATTATTACAAAAGGGGGCACATTAACCCGCAAAAATCCTATAGGACTTTTGATTTCCTGACCTACGTTTCAATGAGTATGTTGTTTTTGCGGAATCGCTATAACCTTATCAGGTTCATCTATTAATTTTCAGGGTTCTCCGGTGACGACTGACGCTTGAAACACTGATTCTGCTGCAATAGCTTCCCAAAAGTGTGTGATTATAAGGTAGTTGCTACAGCTAAACCTTCCTCACAACAAGATAAACTAGGAAAATTTTCAGTCTTCCCAAATACTACAAAGCTTTCGATGCTCTAACTGTCACATCTATATCAACACTACATTGATGGAAACCTATTCAGCAGGAGTTGCTTGTGAATGTACCTGTTGTTTATTTAATTTGTAGTGCTAATCTCATGCATTGTCCAATCCTTAATACTTTCCACTCAACGATGCATAATTCCATCAAAGAAGCTATATATTGCAGTTGATGCGGTAGTAACTTGATTCTTGGGAATCGACGCAATGTAAGAGACATGATAGAGACAGAAAAATGTAGTGGTAGCATCGGTGGAGACTTAAGAAATTAGATTACAAGAATTAGCAAAAACCAAAAAAAAAAAAAAAACAAAAAAAAACAAGAACAAAATATTTCATAGTCTAAACTTTGATCATCATTATTATGACATACAACCAATTATATATTCATCATTGATAGTTCCATTCATTTATTTTGTAAAAAGGATTTCCGTCAAATCTAGTCTTCAAATAAAAACCATCCGATTTCACTAGCCAAAAGACAATATGACCTGGGGCACAATGGCTTATTCTGCGATTGAAAATAGCCATATATCTAACCTTTCCAGCCCACCAAAATGTACAATAATATTTTGGATTTTTAAAAAATGCCCTGATTAAAAAATGCCCAAAAGGATCAAGTATATGACAGCCAAAATCATCAACATTTTCCTTGTAACAATGGTATTCTAGAGTGTTGTCATCTCTAGGTAACTCGCTCTTAATAGTAACTTCCCAGTGATATCATAGATTAGGTTTTGTTGTACATAAAAAACATAGGATGAGTGGACGAAGAAGTGAAAGAAATGAATTTTCAAAAGTATGACTTATGTTGTTATTGTTTTTTCTTAGGGATGATCGAGTTATGTAATCTGGTGTGCTTCATTCAAAAAAAAAAAAAAAGAGTTATGTACTTTGGTGATTGAAGATATAGATTACACACACAATCATTAGATTCAGTGAATCCGTCGAAGGAAATTGTTTGGTGTGTTTTATAGATATAATTGCAGAAGCGGTGTTACTTGAAATCAAATAGTATTTCCATTGGTTTTTTTTTTTTTTTTTCCTTTTGTGTACAGATAGAGTAAGAGAATAGTTTTCAAAGTTTTCTACCATCAAGTTATAGGTTGTCAAATGTTAACAATTTAACAAATCAATTCATGAAGTGTAGAAAAAAATTACTATTTTAGTAAACTATCGATTTTGATGAAGGTTAAAAATTGGAGAAATCATTTTTGATGCAAAAAATATATATAAATATTACGTAGTAATATATAATATCAAACATGTTTATTATAACTCTTATAAAAAAGACAAAAATTTCATTACTCTGATTCTAAACTTTTAATAGATTTCAGATTTTTTTTTGGTACAATAAAAGTAGGCTGGGTTTTAAATTTTTATATTTAGATTTGATCTCCATATAAGTCAGATTGCGTATAGACAGAACAGGGAGATTAAAAATCTAGAAAATTAAATAAATAAATATTTAAATTTTAATATTTAGATTTCAGATTTTCGTTTTCTGTATTGTGTGTGAGCAAATTTTTTAAGTTAAATAAAATTGAGGTTGTAAAAATCTCAATAGGCTTTGATTGTTTTTCACATTCTTTTTGCGAGAGAGTTCATTTTTTTTTGGTCAACAAACAAGATTATTTTTTTAGACGAAAAGGAATGATATTTTCAGAATGGTCCTCCTTTTTTAATGCAGAAAAAGAGAGCTCCATTTGACAATTTATTATTATCCATCCATTATACCATTTCCAAAAACAAAAAAAAAATTCCATCCATTATTTTTCTCCCACTCTAGCCCCAAAAAAGTCAACGTTCTAATGTAATGGTCTTCTCCCCAATTTTTGGTCAATATTTTCCATAACAATCAGGCCATTTCTTAATGCAGATGAGAAACTTAAAGAAAACATCCGAAAGCAATGACTTATTGACCAAATTCTGATGGCGTAAAAAGCTAAGAAGTCAACTCTACTTTGTACGAAGGAGATGCATTTCTGGTACCAAAACGAACAAAAGGCAATAACCTAATTAAAAAATTGATAGTTCATTGAAGTGCCAACAGCACTGAAATTTGAATGTCCTTTTGACGTTGCCTTTAGCATCTCAGAACCCCTTGATTCGTGTTTTGGTGATATTGGTTAAATGACACATTGTGGATTATGTTAGTTCATCTGTCATTAGAGCAAATTACCAATCAATAAACTACAAACTCTGAAACATTCTCCCCGGCACAACACTATTATGTATAAGGGACTCGAAATCTCTAACAATACTGTTTACATATTTAATACTTATTTCTTCCGTCACAAAATTATTGTCCAATTTAATATGTCAATTTTAGTAAAATGAAAATTCAAAGTAGATAATAATTTCGGGACACAGAAATTATCTCGCTACATTTATATATATATATATATATATATATGTATATATATAAACAATAAACAAAAACACTTCCTCCGATCCTTAATATAATGCATTTTGATTTGTCCTAAGTTTCAACTGGTACGCATTTTTATTGACCAAAAACTCTTAAAAATATATTTTCATTTTTGTTGTGTTTTCTTGAATGTTATGAAATATTTTTAACATTTTTTTTATAGATAAAAAAATGCGTACTAAGTGAAACCTATAAAAAATCAAAACGTCTTATAGTAAGTACTCAAGGGAGTAAAAAAAAGGTTAAAATCATACTTCGGGGTTGTGCCTTTGACTTTTCACTGTGATGGGAATCCGAGTTCGGTGAATGGCTGCATAACCATTATTCAAGTACATACTCAATGAGATGCTAAGATAAAAAGGCTAGTTGCTAATTTAGCTTAATTTTTCTCCTAGTGAAAAACTGAACTCTAATTCCAAATAAAGTAACAACCTTGACATAGATAAACACGGTTTCAAAGCTACCTCTTCTCTTTGATTTCATCTTTTGTCGCATTTGGACATTACATTACAAATCGATACTGGGACTTCCACATATACGTTTTGTCCCAAAAGAAATAGAAAGATAAACTAGTGAATTTGCTGTTGCATTCTTTGCTTGGGTGTTACAACTTCCATTTCCCATTAGGCCAGCATGTTTAAAGAAAGATTAAGAGATTGAAACTAATGGGAAAACCCAACAAGTTATCCTAACCCAAATGAAGAAGAGAGAAAACTATCTGGTTAACTGAAGAAACATAAACCAATATTTAAGAATTTGCAAAACAGAGTGAAACAGAGTGAATATGAAGTCCAGAAAGGATGATAATTTGTGCCTTTTCTGTGAAATAAAAATGTTCTGCAGTATGAGAAACATGTACAATCTTTGAGTGAGGTATATGAAATCAGTATTTTCTTTTACCTCTCTGTAATCTGTATCTATGAACACTAAAAAGAGTTGAGAGAAAAAAAAAAGGGGGCATAATTGCCTACATTCAGACGCTTGAATGAATTTGCAGCAGAAAAATACCCCTGTTCTTCCATCTGGGATGTATATAAACTAACTAAGGAAGTGTTTCCAATGTTTTCCATTTGGAAATGACATTAGCATCTTTACCTTCAAACTCGATCTGATATATCTGTTTTGCTTCAAACTCTATAGAAGAAGTTGTTGATTTGCAGCTTC